TGCGCGTAGGTGAGTGCACCCATGCTGTGCAATGCCTGCAGAGGACAGAAGAGGCTGTCGGATCCCCTGGAACTGGAGTTGCAGACAGTTGTTAGCTGCCATGTGGGTGCTGGGATTTGAAGCTGGGTCTTCTGCAAGAACAGTCAGTGTTCGTTTTAACCACTGAGCTATCTCTCCAGCCCCAGATATGGTCATCTTTTTAAAAATGATGTGGGAGACTAACTTTAGTCTTTCATGGCATTTAAATAAGATGCAAATTCAGAACAATCCAATAAAATCTACTTCTGATTATAATTAAAGAATGCGCTACAAAGATCAGCTAACATTAAAAATTTTCTGTACTTTCCATCAAATATTAGTGTATTAAGACTATTGCTATAAGGAAAAAAGAAACTAGAAAACATCTAAACTTATAAGGTAGTTGTCAGTATAGAACAAAAATTCACCACCTGAATACCATGTCACAAATCATGGTATGTGTAGTGAAGATAACACACAAAATTCGGACTGCACTGTTCTTACACTCAGCTTTCTGATTCTCAACATATGACAGGAAGCCCCCTCCCTTGTGGAGGAAGTGTGGGTTAATTATTATCCTACAGATTTTGGAAATCCAGCAAAATTAGGACTCAAAACAGTTCCAATTATAGCACCAAAACATAAATTGAGTCAAAAAATTAAATATATGCCATAAATATTTCATCATGTGTAGCAAATCTGCTTTCAGTTTTAGCCTAGGATTATAAAGTTACTACAAATCACTTTAATTATAACACACTTCTAGGTTTGTCACGAAACTATTCTTTGGGCTTGTCATTGTGTCCTTTAAATCCAGTTTGTCTCTAGGAATAAACTCTTCTTTCTAATAAAATCAGACTATTATAGCTACAAAATCATGTTCACAAGTTTATCAATCATATTTTCAATAGCTGATAGCTCTTCTTTTTATGGCATACCTCTTTGTATCTCACAAATACCCATTTGTACAAAGCCTAATTCAGTTTAATGTTGTGTTAAACAAGAGATCATTAATTTAGGTAACTCTTCTATAAGCTGTATTTTCCTCATCTATGATTGAGAGGCTTGAGAAAATATTAAGAACTTATGTGAGCAATATCAAATACTGTTAGTCAAAATGGCTACTCTGGTAAATTACAGTACTAACTTTGCTAACAATTTTCTAAAAATTTTAGTCATAAAAATCTCTTCATCAGCTCCTTTAAGTCCAAGTTGGGGACACAGACATGTATACTGAAATTATAGTTCAACCTGATAAATATCCTGGATACAAGTCCCCTTAAGTCCTACCAAAATCCACCAAAGATGATAATCAAAATGACTACAAAGGTCTGTTATGAAGTAGTATTTTAAACTGGGCCTTAAGGATAAACCCAATTTTGCCTGGCTTAGAACCAAAAGGTGGAAGGTGAAGATGGGAGCAAAGGTCCGGGTAGGGGATGACTCCAGCATCTGCTTTATGATGAGCTGTTCGAGAGCTTACTCCTTTTCCTTATTTACTTTTTTTTTTTTTTTTTTTTTTTTTTTTTTTTTTTCTGAGACACCATTCATTATATACCTAGGCGGACCTCAACCTACATGACCACAACCCCACCATGGCCTCCTGAGTGCTGGAATTATAGGTGTAACCCATGTTTTATCTCAAAATTTTTTGAGATAATTTTTAATTTTAGATCTATAATAAACTAATATAAGCATGAGCAACTTGAGGGATATATTTTCCTAACAAAAGAAAATTATTTTGATAGCATTTTAATCTGAAGAACTCAAAAAAAATTTAATTAAAAATAAGCCAAGTTTGAGTTGCCATCTTTTAAATAGGGAATATAATAGATTAATTCAGTCACCTGGGCTAAACAATAAAGAATACATGCCAGACAAGCATAAGCCATCACTAACTCTTCAAGACAACAGATTTTGATATAAATTAGCTGTGTTTAACTTCTTACCCCAGGGACATACATGACAGAGGACAGAGACACAAGCCAAATGAGATCCTAGTGTATTAGTTAATTCAAAGTACAATACAGCCAAGTTAAGAACTGAAAACTACAGTATCTAACCACTATATGCCACACTATTTCTTTATAAAAATAAGTGACAGTTTCTAACTGGTTATGCTTAATCTTTATCTTCTCCTTTCCCAATCTTTTTACTCTCCTCTCACTTCAGCACTTGTTTCTCTAAAGTATGGAACTAATAGGCTGAGGTGGGTTTTCCATGGCATGTATACAGAGACTAGGGAGGAAAATCAAACCTGGAAACTAGGATTTATAGTGACATCTTATTAACAATGATTTATTTTTCTTGTTTTAAAATTGATATGGAAATATTCTGATAAAAAAAAGTATCAGACACGGCATTCAGTAGGCAAGGGAAGAGGACATCCTCAAGTTCAAGACTAGCCAGGCTTACATGGCAAGTTCTACGCCAGTCAGAATTATGTTGCAACAACCCTAAATGTTAATAGCCACTGCCTTTGAACAGTTAATTTAGTTAATTTTAAATCTGTATCTAATTTTCTATTGCATGTGCTTCATTTTGTTGTGTTTAGTAATTATCAAAGCTTTAGCTCTCACACTCAGCAATATTTTAGGAGCTTTGAAAGAAGGTCAGATACTGCTGGTAAGAAAGATCATCTGCAAACTGGAACAGTTCATGGTAGCTGGTACAATAGATATTACTGCACCTTCCAAGTTTAGTAGCCTTTGCTACCCAATACAAACCTTGTTAAAATGTTTAAAATAACATTCTACAAAAATATAAAATCATACAGAAGAATGGTAAATAGTAGCGTGGTAAATAGGATATTTAACTTCTCGTTTAACTCTTTTATGTTGGGCTAAAATTAAGATATAGGATACAATTTACTATGTATTTGTTTTTTATGAGATTAGCCCTGGAGAAATTAATAAATAAATATTTACATCAATTGTGGTTGCAGAGAAACAGACTTAAAGAACTATAAGTAAAAAATTTTACCTAGCTTGGCTATGGTGGTATATACCTTTAATTCCAGTACTTGACTTATCTTCACATAGTCAGAACTGGTAAAAGAAAGGAGCCAAGGGCTCCTCCCAAGCCCATGTGACTCCTGAGGAACAGATCCTTAAACGGCCTTAAGAGTAAAATTTGGTATGCTAAATGTTTGAATTAGGTATAAATGCTAAACTTCACAGTTGACTTTGGTATAAATATCAAAGTGACCCCAGTAAAAAAGAGGGGGTCAGGAACCACTTCCAGAAGTCTCTTTTAGCCCGAGTACAGCTGGTAAGGTGACTTTGTATAAGCTGACATTTTTTAGAGGCTGACTAGGCAAAGAAAGAGATAGCCATTTTCCTAAAACAAAGACCTCTAGATAGGCTGACTAGATTAACCAGATGGACAAGTACTAGAGAATGGCTGGGGGTGGTAACAACACAGTGGACAGTAGCAGGGATGACAGAGTATAAGGGCTCTAGTAGGGGGAGAGAAGGGAGTATGGAAGGGTGCCATTTGGGAAGTGGGTATATAGATGAGTAAGATTGTTTGGGATGTTCTGTGTGATATACACACAAAAAACCCCAACAAATTAAAATGAGTTATATTTGAGGAGGAAGCATAAAAATGTATGTCATGTCAATTAGTAGAGGTGATAAACATTACAATGAAATCTACCCGATGACTTTAAATCCATACACAGGTGCCAAGGAGCCGAGTGCAACTGACCATGACTAGTGATAATCAAGTACATACAGATTAGAGACACATGCGCCAACATCTAAGTGTTATTAGCAAAAACAATGAGTCTTTCTGTAAGAAACAGTATATTTTAAAATGAAATGGAGATCTTTTTTAAAGGTTAATAACTCATTCAATTTTACGTCTTACAGGGTTTATTCTGAGTTCAATATCACATAACTGTATTAATTCAACTGTGAACCTAAAAATTTTATAGCTACTTTTGAAAGAGAAGTATCTTTGCTCTGGAAATTGTTATTAGTATGTTAAAGCTGTAATGAAATGCTGCTTCTAAACAATTAAAAAAATAAAAAATAAAAAAAATTTACCTAGCTTGGCTATGATGGTGTATGCCTTTAATCCCAGTATTTGGAAGGCAAAGGCAGACAGGTCTCTCTGAGTTCAAGGCCAGCCTGGTCTATATAGCACTTATAAGTCAAACAGGGCTACATAGTGAGACCTGTCTCAAAAATAAAATAGAAAAGAAAAGAAAGAAAAAAGAACACAAGAACTTGACAATTTTTGTTCAAAGGATCAAAGAATAGCCCAAAGAAGTATACCATAAATTAAATAATACTTGCCAAAGACTAAAGTTACTGCACTCCAAACACAGGACAAATAAGACTGACTAATAACATAATAGGCAGAGACAGAGGTCATTTTATGTATAACACACAGACATGGTTGAGGAAGATGAATTAATGTAAAATAGTGCTTTATGTATTAGAGAACAGGTTACATATGGTCCTAACCTATTTGTTATTTTTACATTCCAGGTTACCTAAAAGGAAGACAGTTGTTCACATTTGGCTGCCAACTATCTTTCTTTTGACCACTTAAAACTTCAGTCTTCCTGCCTTCCTGGCATCATGGAAAAAGTTCAATACCTTACTCGCTCTGCTATTAGAAGAGCTTCAACTATTGAAATGCCTCAACAAGCACGTCAAAATCTCCAGAACCTATTTATCAATTTCTGTCTCATCTTGATATGTCTCTTGTTGATCTGCATCATTGTGATGCTTCTATGAAGTTCTGCAGCCATCTCCAGATCTGCAACATGCCAACTTACCTTAAAATCTAGCAACCCATGAAGAGAACACAATACAGCCTACTTCCTGCGCAGAATGTCTTTGTAAAAAGTCAAGATTAAGAGCAAAACAAATTGTTAGCAAATATATTCATCTGCTGGATCTTGTAAACAAACTCTACAGTGACTAAGTGTGCACAATGTAGCTGCTAATTTCCTTAAAATGGCTCATAAATTTCTTTCTTAAATATTTTTGAGGATGAAATGCAAGTTTTAATTTTGAAACACTGCTAAAAAGTTCACTTTCTACATACAGCATTAGCTTTACTGTTAAAAAGTTCACTTTAATACCCTCAACCTTTGACTTCAAAATAATTCATACTGCACTGCCAACACTTTGATAGTAACTATTTTTCAGGTCTGCACCAAGTACAATAACAGTAATTTAAAAGAACTGTCCTTATTCAAAGCATCCCACTGAGACCTTACATGTATCACTACTACTACTACTACTACTACTACTACTACTACTACTACTACTACTGCTACTACTACTACTGCTACTACTACTACTGCACAGAAAGATGTCTTGGAGTTACTCTGTCAGAACAAACATACTGGATGAAAAATTATGTTTTTTCTATATCATATTAAAATTTTAAGCTTATGAAAATCAAATAGGGAAAAGATCATATTCTTCAACAAATAAAATTCCTCCTAATTTTTCTCAAGGATTGTGGAATTCTATCTAATACATGTAAATTAATCATCAATCTACCTTTGAGAGCACTGTGATCAACGAGTAAGAACATCTTACTGTGTAACTGTCATAACTGTCAATACTAATAAAAAGAATCTAATCTTAATTTGATACATAGATTATCTAAGCTAGGATACATAATCTGTCATAATATATATATATAGGATCTCTCCTAATCCAACCTCAGAACCAATGTAGCCTAGGACAAGAGTAAGATTTCCAATAACAGGAAAATTATTTAAAGCATTATAAAAATTTTTAAATCTCAATTCTCTCTCCAAATACTAATTCTTTTTTTCACAGTTATAGATGGTTGTTAGCCACCACATGGGTGCTGGGAATCGACCCAGGTCTTCTGCAAGAGCTATCAGTGCTCTTAACCGCTGAGCCATCTCTCCAGCCCCAACCTTTCCTAATTTAAAAACACCTTTCAGTAACAACAAATACAATAGAAGCAAAATTTTGTTTTGGAAAACATATTTGACAAAATTCAAAAATTTAAATTAATTTAAATTCAATTCAAGACATGCTACTAATATAGCAATTACTAAGGAAGAGAATGTGTAATCAGAGACATTTTCCAAAATATGATTACTACAAGAATATGAAGCATCAATATTAACTTTCATTTCTAACACAGGTGTTCCTAACAGAATAACAAAAACATACTGCTTTTAAATTATCTGAATCCAGCCCGGGGTGGTGGCACACGCCTATAATCCCAGCACTCAGGAAGGCAGAGGTGGGCAGATCTCTGTGAGTTCAAGGCCAGCCTGGTCTACATAGTGAGTTCCAGGACAGCTGGGGCTACAGGGAGACCCCGTCTCAAGAAGACCAAAATAAATAATAAATAAATAAATAATCTGAATCCATGCTAGAGGATATACTTTTCGTTCAGGGATTATCTGAGGAGCAGCCAAAAGAGAGATCCTTATGTTAACAGGGATTTCTTCAGTGAAGGCTCACCTACAAGTTGGAGATCCCCATCACAGCCAGAAAACTTGTAAATCATAGGTGATATTTTCATCCAAATGTTAAGTAATTATGTAAAAGTATGCAAGTTCTATAGTTGATGGTACTATCATTAAAAGTGGAAAACTGGGTGTGGTGGCAAACACCTGTAGTGCCAGCACTTGGGAGGCAGAGGCAGGCGGATCTCTATGAGTTCAAGGCCAGCCTGGTTTACATAGTGAGTTCCAGGGCAGCTGGGCCACAGGGAGAGACCCTGCTTCAAAAAGACAAAAAAAAAAGGAAAACTGTAACTTTCATTATATTGCTCACTACAACATCAACTTCAAACTATTAACTGTCAACTTACAGGGTTTTCCCTCAGTAAAACAAATTCTTGGCATTTTTCATTTTTTTTTTAATAGAAATTGAAATATGATAATATGAGGACTCCAAAATAGCATAATTCATTAAAACAATGAAAAAAAGTGCATTCTATAAATGGAAGAAAATTACTTTTAAAACTTTTAAAATACTGGGGGCTGGAGAGATGGCTCAGTGATTAACTGCAATGGCTGTTTTTACAGAGGACCTGGGTTCAGTTCCCAGCAAACACATAGTGTCTAACAACTGTCTATAACTCCAATTCCAGAAAATCCTATGCCCTCTTCTGGCCTCCATGAGCACTGTTATGACAAAGGTACATTTACATACATACAAGCTAAACACTAATATACATAAAATAAAAATTTTAAAAACTCTTAAAATATTGAATGTTAAAATATTTTCTATTATGGAATATATCATGATCCTAATTTATAGGACACTGAAAGCAAATGAATTTTTAAATGTTTAATATTGCCTTTTACATTTTAATTGGTTAAAAAGTGTATTTGACAAATGCAGATGATCAGAATCTCCTATATTCAATGAATGTTTGAATTCAGTGAAACTACTAAATAATATATGCTAGACTGATATACTGTATAATATATACTAGACTATAAAATGTTCTAATTATAAATTAATTATATAGTTCTAATTATATAGTTTTGATATAAAGGGACTTAAGAGACATTTTCCCCAAAAAAATAAAAATCAGAATTTCCTAATATAAACACAAGAGGGCAGGTATACACAAAATAGTTAATTTGCTCCTAGAGATTATTTATCCTTTGATTATTTTAGTCTTCTTGCAGGGTAGGGATATAATCAGTTGCAAAAAAAAAGATCTAAGTGTGCTAACAGCACACTTAAATGTCTAAAAACTATATGGCAAGTTATATAAGAAATATAGTCAGGAAAAAATAGCCAAAAATGTTTAATACATGTGTACAATATTATACGTTTTTTAACTACCTCGTGAATCATAAAATGTGATACCACCATATGGTATTATAATATCAACATCTCTCAGCTCATAAATGATCTGCTAAAAAACTAAAAGCAAAATAGCATACAAAAATAAAAACAAGAAAATCCTTTCCAAAAAAAAAAATAAAATACATAAAATGCTTCCAAATTAGAGGTGAAGCTTTTTCATTCATAATTCATATTAAAGACAAAAACAAAGATCTTTATGTTATTTAATCAAAATCTTTAAATAAAAGGCTCCATGAATATGTTAAAATTATTAATTGCCAATACCTTCACTGACAAAATCCCTTATGATTTATATATGCATAAAATTTCATCTTTTTTAAAAACAACTGTAATCCAAAGTTTAAATAGGTAACATGAGAAAATATAACCAGCTCAGCCATAGTGTTCACTACTTCACTACCATCAGGCAGATCCACTGTGGGATGGGAACCTGTTTCTGTGTGTGTATGTATGTGTGTATATATGTATGTATGCATATGCCAGAAGTGTGTGGGTGCCCATGGAGGTTAGAAGAGGGAATTAAATCACTTGGAGTTGAAGTTACAGGCAGTTGTGAGCCTGATGAGGGTACTGGAAACCAAACTTGGGTCCTCTGGAAGAGCAGGAAGTGTTCTTAGCTGCTGAACCATCTCTGAGTCCACTTAACGGGAGCTCTGCTACATGCAGAGCTCCACCTTCTCCACACCTCCACCTTGGAAACAAGGACTGCAAGGGGGACATGTAAAGTAAGCATTCTTCCCAGAAAATAAGATTTTGATTTCTCTTCTGTCATAACCTACAAAGTCAGACAGTCTGGAATATGGGTGAAGTGACAGAACATAATACACAGAACGAAAGACCAGTGGTGGATAGTGTGCACAGAGTCCTATATCATAAACTAGATGAGGGCAGATGGCTTTTATTCATTCACAAAGGAAAATTCTTCAGGGTATTATACTACCTACCCTCTCTAGATGATCTGGCAAAAATCATAGAAATTGAAGAACACCATGTACATAAAATTAACTAGTCAATAATCATTCTGGATTAAGTCCTTAAGAAGCACAAGTTAAGTTTGGGGAATAGCCTGTAAAGATTAAATGAAGTGAAACACTTTTAAAAATTATAAAGATCTGTATAAATCTATAGTATTATTAGATTACAAATTTGATTCAAATTCCTTTTCTTAGTTGTTAAAAACTGGTCTTTTTTTCTAGACTCAGAGTTGAGCAATTGTGCTTAAAAACCATAAATTACAGATGGGGTGATCCTTTTTAAATTCCTCACTTTTATAAAAAGTATACTAAAAGCATATCAATACTTCAGAAACTTTTAAGAAAATAAAAAGAATCCTTGGTGGGTTTGAGAAGATAATTAAGAATTTTCTTCTATAGTAATCCAAAAGGGAAATTAGAAAAAAAATAGTCATTTAAAGATTATAACTGCAGTGGAAGAGAGGCAGGAACAGGCATAATACAATGGTAGAGTATTTATTTATCATGTACAAGGCCATGAATTCAATTTCCAGTACTTCAAATTGAAAAACAAAAACAACAACAACAAAAAAAAAAAACCCTGCCTAGATCATTACTCCCAAATGCAGAAGCCATGTATAAGGAGTCAGTTCTAAATATGACTAATTAAGAAATGGTGCTTTCTAAAGCACACAGAAATGTTTCCTATAGTATCTTTCTCCCTCTACTGAATACCAGGAAGATTTTGAAACATGCTTTTCTCAACCGTGCATATCCTATCAACCTCTTTTTCCAGATCAAGAAATTTACCTATTAACACATTATTCCCTACACCTAAAAATGATTAATAAACTGTCCTTTACATATGGTATTATCATAAAGTAGTTCCTTTAAACAGTACATCTTAATGCTTAATTCATTTTTAAAATAAGTTCATCTAATTTGTAAGCTTAAGTACACAGAAATCACTACAAAAAGCATTACGGATAACCTGAGTTCCACTTTTCATCTTACAAATGAAGCTAAGACCCAAAGAAATTAAGTGACAGGTTAAGAATCACCTGGGTTCTCAGCTCTATCACTCTTGGGTATGTATCTACCCAAAAGACTCTGAATCCTATTGCAGAGGCAGTTACACAAACATATTTATTGCTATCTGCAATAGTTAGAAGATAAGCTAGCCTAGATGTTCATCAAGTATACCATTCAATACTCATCAAAGAGGCTTCTTTCTGCAACTGATAGAGGCTATTACAGAATGCCACAACTGGTCACACACAGAAAATATATGTCTGAGAGATGCCCAGTCCTAAGTGACACATCTATAATGGAACCTCTATACCTAAGGCTCACGGAACATAATGGAAAAGGGGGTAGAGAGACTACTAATGCATCCCTCAACTCTCACCAGAGAAGATTCCTCATGCAACAGAATGTGATGCACACAGAAGGTGACAGTTGCTCCAAGGTATAGAGGATAAGAGACTGCAGAGTGTGTGTCCCGGATTAGGAGTCTTATATTAAACCTTACCCACCCACGGCTCAGGGGCCATTGAAAAAGAGGGGGCGGAAAGATGGTTAAGAGCCAGGGTTACTATATGATCATAAGAAAGCAGAGGCTACCAGGCCTCTGGGAATTTGCTCATATGAATTTGCAGCAATGGTGACAGCATGCACAAGATCCATTCAAACTCAATCAGACCAAAAAACAGCACAGAATTGGGGAAATGGGCAGCAGGTTCCAACCTACACTCTCTTCTGACCTCTGCAGGCTTTGCACCACATGGGTGCACTTACATACATGCAAGCAATATACTCATACACACAAAAATAAAAATAGTACATAATTTTTTAAAAGAGGGGTTAATGGTAATGACCTATCTCTATACTTTCAAACAAGGGAGACAAAGAGACACAAAATGAAGCTAGATGAGATTGGGTGTGTTCAAAGTGGTATGGGCATAGACAACAAAACTGGGGAAATGGGCAGCAGGTTCCAACCTTAGCCAAGGAACTATTGGCAGCTGATTGCTGCTGTGAGAGAGAGTTGATCTTCTTTTAGGGAGTGGCTACAGATAGGCTGACTAGACACCTTTGGATGAACTTGCACCAAGGAACATGTGGGTACAAAAACTTGATAGGTTTTAACATATGTGACAGAATACATGAAATCTTAGTGGGGGGATATGAGAGGGAACAGATGGGAAGGGATTCTAAATATGATTAAGAGTTACTATATGAAATGCACAAAAATTCAGTAAAATAGATATTAAAAAGAAGTTTTATATTTTAAATTAATATCAAGATACTTCATGGATACCAGTGGAATTCTAATTTGAAAGAAGTGTTACAACCTATAACAACTAGACTTCACTTTGAACTCTGATTTTTCCATCAATCAGTCATTTGTCCCTACAGTAAGGGACTGTTTTTTATTGTGACAATAATTTTCTAAATTTATTTATACATTTTATTGTATGCATATGAGTGTTATGCCTGCATGTATGTAAGTGCAGCCATGTCATGAGGTGCCTTCAGAAGACAGAGAGAGCGTCAGATCCCCTGGAACTGGAGTTATGGACAGTTAGCATCATGTAGATGCTGGGATTCAAACCTGAGTCTTCTACAATAACAACCAATACTCTTAACTGCAGAGCCATCTCTCTAGCCCTGGTGTAACAATAATTGAACCCAGAACTTTTGATGTGCTAGGTTTGTTTGGAAACTCAAAGACATTTATAAAAAATTATTTATTCCTTGATAAAAGAGATGAATGAGTATGAAAATATGATGCATATATACTAAAAGTGTTATTTCAGCATAAAAAAATGAAATCATGGGGCTGGCCAGATGGCTCAGTGGTTAAGAACACTGGCTGCTTTTGGCAGACGACACAGGTTCGATTCCCAGCCTAAATGGCAACTAACAATCGTCTGTAACTCCAGTTCCAAGGGAATCTAACACCCTCTTCTCACCTCCATGGGGAACTGTATGACACAAGTGCACTTACATACATACAGGCAATACACTGATACACATGAAATAAAAATATTTTAAGAAATGAACTCGTAATGTCTGCAAGAAAATGAATGGGACTAGGAATCATTATATCATTCAAAGTATCCAGGACTCAGAAAGACAAATGTGTTTTCTCTCATTTTTGTATCCCAGATTATAGTTTTTAAGTATGTGGGGGTTGAAGGTCAGGAAACTGGAAAGGGAACCTTTGGGTAGAGAGGAGGTCTTAAAGGAGGGTAGGGATGGGGGGATAAAAAGGAGGGTAACAGAATACATGGCATGAAGGCATAAAGGGTCTGGAAGGAAGAGGAAAGGGACAAGCAGGAGGGGTGTGAGGGTCTGAGAAAGCAGGAGAAGAGGATCAAAATAATAACGTATGAAAATATCATAATAAAATCATTACTTTGTATGACAATTTTTAAAAACTAATTTACAAAAAAATGCATCTAGGTTCTAAATGTGATATATTCAGAAACAAAATCCAAAATCTAGTATTCCCAAGTCAATTTCCTTTCTACTACATCATGTCAGTTTCTGTTTCTATCTCACATTTCTTTATACTGAATGAATACATTTTGTTTGATTTTTATGCCCACTTAACAAATGAGAAAGTAAATGCCAAATTAAGCACAAATTTTAAAGTTCTCATGTTAGTCTCAAATGCTCTGTGAGTTTTCTTAATACAATGTGTCGAATGTTAGTACTTATGTTTATTAACTTGTGAGAGAAAAAAAAAAAACAGCGGAAGGCATCCCTATGCTCAGTGCAATAAACATAACATCCACTGGAGGGAAGCAGATACTAGGTTCTAAGGCTTACCTGCATTGGTGTTTCACTTCCTTGCTGAAACTCTTCAATTTGCTGCTGTTGCCAAGGAGCTAAACTGCAAGAATCCTCTGTAGTTCTGCCTTCCAATGGATTTGTCCTTAACTGCTCTGTAAGCCACATCTGAGTCCTTACAGAAGGTTGAATGGGAACTCCACCTACTGCCTGCTGACCAAGCATTAAATACTTTGGAGACTCAAAAGCCTCTGAGCTTGTCACAATGGGCTTGCTCTCGGGTAAGGCACTGTATGTCATGTCTAAGGTTTGTCTCCTGAGGGTAGAGGATGAGGCTCTAAAGTCCTCTTTGTTACAGCTCTCAAATTTATACTTGCAGTCCAGAGTTGATGACCGTTTTTTATTTATTTCCTTACCTTCCAGCTTAAGCATCTCCATACTATCATGTAAGCAGCTAGGCCCTAAGGTCCTTAAGTGTGATGTGAAAGCCTTGCCCCTCCCTATCTTTTCCAAACCATTCCTCAACTCTTCTGTGTGTACAGTGACATTCTGGTTGCAGTTATCCAGGGCAGTAAGTTTGGACAAAGATGACCATTTCCGTAGAGGCCGGAAGTCCTTCATGTCTAGTGAAGAGTCCTGCTCCCCTCTACTTTGGTCTCCCAACACTTGCATGAGGCTTGTTCTCCATTTTGAGCCATCTGATGATAAGGATTCCCTGTGTTTGGAAACTGAAGCACTGGAGTTTGTTGGCATCACATGGGCAGTGGGAAGAGTAACCAATGAACGACTAGGCTTAAAAGATAACGTGCCACTTGAAGTTGAATGATCTGGAAAGAGAAAGCATTGCCAAGTCAACAGGTTAAGAAAAAGAAATCAAAAGTAAAATGCAAAAATGCAGAAGTAAAAAATCTGAATATGGTTTCTCAACATACATTTCTGATCAGAGGTTCTTCCTCAAATGAGGAAACTGCTAATAAATTTAGGGTTATAAGAAAAAAATTAGATATGCTTTCAAATATTACCCCCACACACACTTACTCTACCCTGTTCCCTTCCTCCTCTCTTCTCCTTTCCTCCTCCCACATAGTCCTGCTTCTACTTTCATGTCTGTCTATCTTTATATAATTTTGATGACCCAGTGAGTTGCCCTGGGGTTGCTTATAGGGTTCTGGGTGATGGATTATTTACAGGAGCACAGGCTCCTTACCAGTAGCTAGATCACTGAAGAAAATGCCTCTCCCTCACCCCATGGATCACTAACTACCTATAGATCCTCAGGAAGCGATAAGGCCTTGTGACTCCAGTCCTCTAGTTACCATTATCTGCCTACAGGGCCTGGGATGGGGTGTTCATAGCCTTTCTTCCCCTCACTCATTAGAGGATGTTGGCAGGCCCAGTCTTGCATAGGTCTTGTGCTGATAATCACAACTGCTATGAGATCAAGATTGAAGACTCTGAAGACTATGTCCTCACTCATTCTACTCCTTCCTCTGGCTCTTACATTCTTCCCAACCATCTTCTGCAATATTCCAGGTCTTGAAGTAGGTGATATAGAAATCCCATTGGGGGCTGGAAAGAAGACTCAGCAGTTAAGAACACTGGTTGTCCTTGCAGAAAACCGGGGTTCAAATCCCAGCACATAGCAACTAACAACTGTCCGTAACTCCAGTCCCAGGGGATCCGACAGCCTCTTCTGACCGCCTCGGGCACTGTACAACATGGATGCACTTATCTACATGCAGGCAATACATGCATACACACAAAAATATTAAAAATAAATAAATAAATAAATGGTTATATGCCTAAAAAATAAATAAATAAATAAAAATAATAAATCAATTTTTTTAAAAGTTAAAAAAAGAAGTCCCATTGATGGCTGAATATTCAACGGTCCTGTATTCTCAGCATTTGATCAGTTATGAGTCTCTGCAGTTACTGTTACCCACTACAAAAAAAAGAAAGCTTCTCTGTAGCACTAATCTATGGGCATAAACATAATTATTTAGAAGGCAAATTTGATGAACACACATGTCCATTTAGCAAAACAACAGCAGGACCTTCCCATCAGGGTCTATGACCTCCTTCACCAAGGGTATTTTGACCAGGTTTACAGTATCAGCTGAGGAGTCTCTCTTATGGAATGAGCCTAAAATCTGATCATAGAGGGCTTGATTCCCTTTGGGTTTTTTTTTTTTTTTTTTTTTTTTGTTTTTTTTGGAACAGTTTTTTC